TTCTAAAGGCAAGCCGGCCCCCCCCCGCCCACCCAGAAGCCGTCCCCACCGCGCCCGTCCCTCCCGCCGATCGCCCCGAACCCGGCGGGCCTGAAACGGCCGGCCTAGAAGGCTCCGCCCTGGGAGGCAAGAAGGGGCGCCTCCGGACGAAGAGAAGACCCGCAGAGTGCGGGAGCGGGCACGCCGGTCTGTGCCCCCCCCCCTTTTTCCCTATTCCGCTAATAAAGGCAAAGCCTTCAAATGGGTTTGGGGAAAGGGTGGTCGTCACGGGAGCCTCGTTCCCGGAGGGCATGGGCCCAGGAGCGGGACGGCCCCGTTTTGAAAGGAAAGGGTGAGCCTGGGCTGCAGAAGGGGCGCTCGCACGTCCTGCGTGCCCGGTGTCCCCAAGCAACCTGAACGCGTGGAGGGAGGTTGGTTTGCGCGGGGTTCCGATTCAAATGCGTCTCCTTTACCCCCGAGACATGCATGAACCATCTCTAAAGGACTTAACGCCTCGGGAAACAATGCCCAGGACCAGTCCTGCCAGGTATGCCTGCTGAACGTCTGAAGACAGATTTCCTCTACTTGCTGCCTTTCAGAAAGGTTGGGCGACAACAGTTCCCATCATCTTTATTCTGAAGACTATCCGAGGAGAAGGAAAACTCCGATTTCAAACCCTTCTGAAGACTATCCGAGCATGCATTTCAATGCATTTTGGAAATGCTAGGCTGCGACCGCGGACGACGAGGCTGCCGTCTCTATGTCAGCCTGCGGTGAGAAATCACGTCTCGTGGGAACGGAGCCCCGTGTCCAGCTTTAGCGGGCGAATTCCCTCCTTCCCTCCCGCCTTGATTCCCCCTCCACTTCAAGACCCCACCCAGCACGTGTCGTACTGCCAACTCCTGCGACATTGCTGGAACCAGTTGTATTGGCTCTTGCCTTTCCATTGGACCATTTCAGCAATGTGGAGAGGGGGGATCTGCTGCTTGGGTAACAGCCTATCCTCCATATTACCTTACCCGGGTTTCATGCTCTGGAGGGGACACTCCTCCATTCAGAGCATGTTATCATAGTCTCTTGAAACTGAAGGATGCCTATATCCGAGCATGCATTTCAATGCATTTTGCAAATGCTAGGCTGCGACCGCGGACGACGAGGCTGCCGTCTCTATGTCAGCCTGCGGTGAGAAATCACGTCGGGCTCCACGCGTCTCGTGGGAACAGAGCCCCGTGTCCAGCTTTAGCGGGCGAATTCCCTCCTTCCCTCCCGCCTTGATTCCCCCTCCACTTCAAGACCCCGCCCTGTGCTCGCCGCAACCAATCAGCCGCCTGGATGAGGAAAAAAGAGGCGGGGCCCGAGGCACCAGGAGAGGGGGCGGGGCCACGGTCACGAATGGGCGCGGCCGCCAGAGAGGATTCCGGCCGGCTGCGCGCGCGGAAGTCCGCCGCGGCCCACCCTCCCCCGCGTGCCGGCCCACTGCGCAAGCTCGCCGCCTGGCCCCGCCCCCTGCATCCGGGTCAATATTAAAGGAACATTTTGTGCAAAGATGGACATGATAAAAGACAAAAATGGTAGGGACCTAACAGAAGCAGAAGACATCAAGAAGAGGTGGCAAGAATACACAGAGGAATTATACCAGAAAGATCGGGGCCCGGGGCGGCCATGGAGAGCAAGAAGCTGACGGAGCTGCGCGTCATCGACCTCAAGTCGGAGCTGAAGCGCCGCAACCTCGACGTGGCCGGCGTCAAGACCGTCCTCATCGCCCGCCTCAAGCAGGTGAGCCCGAGGCGGCCAGCCGACGGGAAGGCCCGGGCCGGCTCGGTTCCGTGGAGCGGCTCCTGAGGGGAAAAGGAGGCTCCCCTCGCCCTTCCCCTCAGGGAGGCCTCGGCCGCCGGCCTCACCCTTTCGTCCCGTTTCCTCCCCGTCCGGTTGCCTCCCCCGGCCTGAGGGGAAAGGAGAAAGAGGAGAAACCGTTCCTCCCGCCCTCCCTCCGTTCTTTCCCTCCCTTCCTCTCGGTCTCTGGGCCGCCTTTCGGAGGAGAAGGGCCCCAGGCGGCCTAAGGAGACACCGCCGGCGAGCGCCCCTTCCAAGGGTACATCCTGGCCCGAGAGGCTTCCGAGCGATGATGAGAGGATAGTGTCAGTTATAGAGAATACTGACGACGAGCTCCCTGGAAGAGCCGGCGGGGCACAGGGACTGCGGGGTCCTGGGTCCTGGGTTCAAATCCCTCCTGAGGCCCTTACTGCTGGGTGTTTTGGGGGTGGCGGTTGTTCGGGTCGAAAGACATGGCAAGCCTTGGGATTACCCCAAATCGGAAAGGATGTGATGGCACACGACATCATCGCCGCCTCTTGATTCCACTGTTTGGAATTAAATTTTTTTTAAAAAATCCTTTAAGGATGCCCCTGTGGTTTACAGCAACAGGTTAGGGATTTTGTAGAAAACGAAACCAGTCACCCTGAAAATTAACTTTGGTCAATTGCAACCAACGACCTGCTCTCCCAACAAAAATAAAACAAAATCAGGGCTGGGTGTATCTTTCTGCTCCAGGAGTCCTTAGTTTACATAGCTTGGAAAAGACGGTTTTTCAGCTGTTTGAACAGCTGGGTGTCTCCGAGGGTCCTCCACAAACGGCCCGCCTTGCCCTTGGGCTTGAGTGAGTTTTCGGTGGATTGAATCAGTCCTTACCACTAACGTCAGGCAGTTGCTACAGATTTTTGAGATGGCTTACTAGATTTAAGTGATGGGTGAGCAGGGTGGGAATACTGCCAAGTAATTAGGTTTTGGAGGGACTGGAATGGTGTGTGTGTGTGTGTGTGTGACCGTTTAATGTTGAGCAGTAAGAAATGCCAGGCCCTTCCTGAATAATTTAGGATCAAGCCGGCCACCCACATTGTGGCTGTCGGTTGGGCTCTCCTCCTCCAGCCAAGTAAAGGTTGACACCAGAGGGCAACTGGACCTCCATGGGCCCCGTCTGGGGATGTTTGGCAGCACTGGAGCCCCACTCTCTTCTCCTCTCTTTGCACACATTGCATGGCGTTTGGTGTTCTCTCCATAGGGCTGTGAGTGACTCAAGGGTGCTGATGGCTGCAGTGCCAACACTATGTTGAAGGACACCTGCCATCTATTTTGCAAGCCCATGTCAGGAATACGATGGCTGGGTTGTCCCTGCATGTGTCCGGGAGCTTATTGATAACAAGAATTTTAGCAGTTAAGACTTACTGACAGGGATATCCGAGGATACTAGCCGTGTTCGTGTCCATTGCATGAAATGTGGACTTATCCTGCATCTGTGGTGGCGCTTGGGCTCTGCCTTGGACTCTAATGCCCAACATTGAGTTGTTGTAGGTGGATAGCGCAATCCTCTTTGATGGTTTCAAAGAAAGTCCCAGAAGTTTTTAAGTATGTGTATATAAAATTTTAGTTTTCATTTATTTTTATTTGAAGCAGATATATGTGGATTTCAGCCGATTTACAGCACAGAGAATCATTTACTAGTTAGTAACTTATGACACTGACTGAATCCACTAGTCTGAGCTTGCAATGTGTGATCTAAATGCTCCAGTGTTCAGCACTTGTAGTTTATGTTCTCAGGAGACTACGGTGCCTCAAATGCAAGAATTTATCTGTGAAGATTCTCAGTCATCCAAGTGATGTTATCTGGAAATTAAGTCATGGCAGGTGGGCTCCTTTCTTATTAGGTTGAATGCTGCGCTACTCATTCAAGTAGCTTCTTCAGTCAGGTGCACATGTGCTGTTTTTAAATTTTTATTTTTAATTTTGCAATTTTGGATGCAGCTGCTTTTTCTCTGAGAGGACAGTAGCTTTTTCCAGTGCTGTGGAGTGCTTCATCTGTGTATATATGTGCTCAGGTGACCCCTTTGCTTCAGTTGGCATTAGAGCAATGGCTGTAATCATGTGAGTGTAAATTGCATTTGCAGGGAATGTACAAGGACAACCTGATTCTGTGTTCAAGTGTGTCTTAAGGCAGGAGTGCAAAGAAAGTGTTTCCTGCTTCTAGAAGTGAAGAGCAAAGCATCTCAGAATTCGTTTTGCTTTTGATTGTGAAAACGGGTGGTGCCTTGTGCTGGACAAAGACTCCCTCTGGGGTGCTGGGGAGAGGAGACACATTCCTTCTAACTGTAAGAGGAACAGCCAGTTCAGGAGGGAGCGGCTGTGGCTCACCTTACATGACTCCGCTTTCCAAAGCTCCAAGACAGGTGGAAGATGATGGGCAAGTCCTGAGATCCTAGGGAGCTCATGGATCATCCTGGACCGTATACGAAGCCAGATGGACCAGCACTCTTACTTGGCATGTGGCAGTCGTGCATATGACCTCTCATCCATGCTCAGTGTTTATAGGTCCTGACTCTTATTTCCCTTTCCTTTTATGTATCAAAACCCATATAGGATGCAAGCGTACTCCTTAAAGGGAAGCAGTTCTTCAAACATTTCAAGGAATATTTCCCAAAGGTTAACAGCAGTCAGACAACAGACAGTTTGCCAGTGGTTGAACTGGCAACTCCATCGGGTACTAACTCCTAACCAAAACTAGAACTACGTTTTCAGCTGGAAGTAAAATAGAAAGAAAGTAAAAATGCCTCAGTGCAGATGCATAACCAGCTAGTATGGATTAATGTTTAGCAAACACATTGAATTTCAAAGGAACATTTTCCTTAGGGCAGACTTCTTGTTGATGGTATTTGTGATATTTAATTCACCAATTAAAAACTTATCTACTCTGATAAGAACAGTAGGGATTAAAAATAAAAAAATTCCATACGGCCTGTTTCCATTGTTCCTATGCATGGGTGAATAAAATGGGTGTCTGGGATACTGTCTGGAAGTTCGCATTGCATTCCTTTTCACGAAAGGTGCCTACTTTTGACTTCTTGGAGTCTAACCCCTGAATGACCCATAAAAATGTCCAGCATGAGTTATGCCCTGAGCCTTGAAAAAAATACAGCTAGCCTGATGAATGTCAGAGCTAAATAATAGTGGATTCATGAGGAATGCGTTGCTGTAACCCAGTCCCCTCTTTCTGTTTTCCCTTAGGCTATTGAAGAGGAAGGAGGAGATCCAGACAATATTGAAATACCTGTTGGAACTGATGCTCAGAACAAGAAACCAACCAAAGGAAAAGGTTAGAGTTTCTGTGAGAGCAATCCACGGAAAATTGTACCGTTGGCCACAGAATCTGTTCACTTGCTTTAAAATACCTGGGAGTAGTTGTGCAAATTATGTAATTGTCCGGATGTTTATTGAAACACAACGTAGCTGCTGTCCTTGATCAGGATCATAAGAAAGCCTGTGCTGTGCTCTCTACCACGTTGGCTGTAGTCCTTTACGGCAGGGCTGGAAAGCCTGTGGGTCCCCAAAAGTTGCTAGGTACAACTTTTGGGGACCCACTTTTGTTGGCTCCAGCCAGTCGGACCAGTGGTTCTGCCTTAAAACATTGGAAAGACTCGTTTGTGGACTCAAACTCTTTATCTCAAATCTCAACCCTGGTCTTTTTAACCCAAAGCAAATAGCCAGTGTCCATACAATTCAATCGTTAGTTTGAAGCTGTTTTACTATATGCACTTGATTTACTGTTTATATTTTACTCAACTTTTATCTTTGTGTTTACCCCATGGTCAAGCAGCTAACATGACCATAATTATAGAAGAAAACAGCATATATCCAGCACTATATCATAATGTTCTTTTAGATATCTCATTTTAAGCACCTGTAACAGAGGAGGTATTTATTCATTATTTTAAGCTCTTTCTTGTAGGTGGTATTATAAAATAATGTGCAAAATTTCAGATTCCCCTCTAACAATGTATCACTAATAACAGGTAAAAAATGGTGCAGCCTCCAAAGAAGCATATTATACAGGTAGTTTATGCTGGACATAAGTACTGTAGACAGCGTTTGAAAGTTTTTACCACCCCTGAGAAAGGGTGGTTGTGTCTGGTTATATAGAAGTACAGCTGCAGCAAAACACATTAGTTACATCAAATTGAGCATTCTGTTGTAGAGGTGGGCACTTAGTTTGATTAGATGCAGCTTTCCAGATGCTATTTTCCTCTGTAGATTTATTTGGTAATTCTGTGGGACTTAGTAGTTTCTCAAGAGCCCCTGTGCTTGTTTCTACCTCAAAAGGACTTTTAGCAAGTAGGATTGTAACAGTTATATTGATGTGCACTGGATTGATAGTCATCTTGGAATATCTGGCTGTGCCATTTGTTTAAGGTGAGAAATGTGAGCCTATTTAAGATACACATAAGGAGTTTTAGAGATTGTGATGGAGGCGTGCAAGTGTTTTTGTGGGACTTGAAACCAGTAACACAATATATGTACACTTTATTCCTTATAACAGTAATAATAGCTGCTCTGGTAGATTTTGGAATTGCAGCAGTAGGAAAAGATGTTGTACAGGAGAATAATAAATAATTGCACGTTAAAGGTGTGCTTAGTCAGTACAGAGAAAATAATGGACAAGGGTCATGCACAGATGGTTATAACATCTGCCTAGGTGTAAATGGAAGAATATTTCTTGAATCCTGTTGGAGGCCTTTGTAGTTGAAGTAAGGGTGACCAAACCATTAAATAGTGGAACCAGCTTGATTTCCTTCCTTCTTTAATTTGTTGGATAGCAGCTTTCTATTGAAAAGATGTGCCTATATTCAACAACATTAAGCCCATGTAACTGGATCCAGGGCAAGATGGACAATTCAAGTGTTACTCAGGATGTGGCATCACCTCTCGTATTTTCTTTGAGGAGACCAACAATTCAAGTGTTACTCAGGATGGTCTGCCTCTAGCCACTGTGGCATCACCTCTCGTATTTTCTTTGAGCAGGTCTGAAGACTGAAATTGTACTCTTTAGACTTTTTGTTTAAACTGCCATTTTATTTAAAGGAATGTCGAAGTGTAGTCCTTCAGTTGAGTTACGGAACTTGGCAGGGTGGGAGGCCAGTTTTCAGGCTATGGGGCTCCCAGTAGGCTACACAGACTGGCAGAATGCCCAAACACACACAAATGAAGCTGTCTAGGTGTGTCAGATTTCAGAGCCCATCACCAGAGTGCTCTGTTGAGTTGTCAGGTTTGATAATGGCTGACCTAGAAGGTGGAATGTGGTGGTGTTGCAGACGGTTGCTTCTCTCTCTTTCTCTCTTAGTATCCTAGTAGGATATTAATTATGAAAAACATTAATAAGTACAATATTGTTATTAATATATACTGTCCCTTAGGTAAAAAACAGGAAGCTGATGAACTAAGTGGTGATGCTTCGGTGGAAGATGATTCCATGCTCAAGGTAATACTGTCATGAGAAATTAAACTGGGGAGCCAGTGATCAGCACCTTGCTATTTGGTACGTGGGGACTTCTGAATAAACATTCGTGTTTGCTCAGCACACTTGATTATGGCAACAGCATACCATTCAGTTTTCTTTTACTGTAAGCAAGGACTGTTCCTTCCTTCCTTTTTTCATTTGATTTGAGAGGAATATAGGTCGCTGTTCTATACCATTATCAATTTATATTGGCATCTCTAAAAAATAAAAGTGTTGAGTAAGGGCAGTGGAAGCATGAACTGTTTTCCAGGTTGGGGAAGAACTTGGCAAATTTCTAGTTAGAGTCAGTCCCTGTAAAAGCTGCTGAATGCAAGATACAGCTGTTTTCCATCTGCAATATCAAGTGTTGTTCATCTTGAAAGGAAAGCGAATTGGAAGCTCAAGACGCAAGTGACCAGGATGGAAATGACGAAATGAAAGACTCTGCAGAAGAATGTGCAGAAAACGAAGAAGACTCGCTGGATGCTAAAGAGTTGCTTCCTGTAGACAAGAAGAAAATTCGTTTAAGGCAGACAGAGAAGGACTTGAAAGACAAGGTACTCTGCAAAACCCTTCAATCCAATTACTGAAGAAATGGTATTTGGAAATTCTCTCCAGCCATTTGTCCTGTTCCGTTGGTAACAGAAGTTGGTTACTTCTTATTTGGAAATGAATGCTGCTGCGTCTTGGTTTTCTTCTTCACCCAGAGTTCCCTAAATCCATCTCATCTTCATGGTCATGGCAGTCCCCTCTTCTGTGCCTCTTCTCCCTCATGTGTGTTTTCTCCTTGTATCTCCACATAAAGCATTAAAAAGTCAAAAAGTTTGGGGAAACTGTTTAAACCAATATTGTCCATTGAGATCCAGGTGGCCTGGTGACCTCTTCACCCTCTTCGGTTGATTTGCCAGTTGAGTCCTCTCGTGGACGTACAGTAGACAGCCTAGTTCTACTAATCCATGGCCTGGGAGCCTCCAGGCTAGGATACTCTGGCGTATTGTACATGGGATTGCCCTTGAATGCTTCAGCTAGTGCACAGTCAGCACTTTGAAGTCTTCTGGCCTAGTCTGTTCGAGCTCTATTATGCTCATTCTGGGAGAATTACCTGGAATGGAAGAAACACCTCCACTTTTATTGCCAGTTTCAGATGCTGCTGCTCACCTTTAAAGGCCTTCACGCCTTGGGACCCCAATACCTGAATGAGCACCTCTTCCAAAACCAACATACCAGAATGTGAAAATGTTCAAGGGAGACTCTTGTCCAAATTCCATCAGTAGAGATTGTTTTAGCTGGTTGTGATGTCTGTTTACAACCTCTCCCTCTCTCTCTTGTTTGGATGTTTCAGTGATTTTGGTATCACATACATATTTATGTAAAGGTAGCCTAGAGATATTTTTAAAATAACCAGACTCACTCTCTGCTATGGTTGTCACCTGTATAAGCCGGTGAAGAGAAGGCTTCCTCAGGATAGAATAAGAGTGAGGGCAGTGCCATGTATTTTGCCTCCCAAGTGTGGCCACGTGCATTGCTGGGCTTCCATCTTGCCCTGCATGGTTTGGATACCCATCCTGTCTCTTGTGCTTGGTGCCACTCCGTTGAAGTGATCCAATGCTGGGCAGAGGGTCCTGCCCACCAAGTCTCTGAAGGAAGGCGAGGAAAGCTGTCTAGCAGCTGGTCCATGAATATTGGTTCTGTTTTCGCAGTGACGTGGCCTGTTCATTGGAGAGCGATGTTGGAGTGGGGTGGCTGAGAGGAAGTGACTTCCTTTGAACACCTTGTCGCCGTTCCACTTTCCGATCATCCTGGAGAACCCTTGCCCGAGATGTGCATTTCAGAAGGGGAAAAGTCCCTTACCTAGGGCACCAGAGAGAGGAGTGAGCAGCGATAGTGATCCTTTGGTTGGGTGGCCGGGTGTTGAGGGGTTTGCTTGCCTTCCCACATGTTGCCATTTTCCGTATGTACAAAGGGAAGAGATTTGTCTTGCCTGCCTCCAGAATTGATAGGGGAGGAAGGACCATCTGAAATTTCTCAGGTTATGACATGAGGGGCTATGGACATTGCTGATTAGAACCTGTCATTTCCACACACAGAGAGAGCGAGCTTTTTTTGGGGTGTGAGGGTGAGCAAATCCATATATCTACCCTTGGGCTCATGGTGTTTCGGTTGGAGCCTTTTCCCATCCTCTGCTAGGTGAAATGAAGAACAAAAGCCATTGACTTCCCTCTGAGTGAGCAGGCACCGTATCATGCAGTTATGGCCTTAGATCATAGAATAATCATAGAATCATGGGGTTGGAAGAGGGGCCAAGGCCGACCCTGTGGTCAAACCGGAAATACAAATCAAAGCAGATCTGCCAGGTAGTTGTCTAAATTTCTCTTGGATGACTCCAGCGTTGGAGTGCTCACCGCCTCCCGAGGTCATGGGTCCTGTTGTCATACTGCTCTAACAGTTAGAAGGTTTTTCCTGATATTCATCCAAAAGTTGGCTTCCTGTAACTTGAGCCCATTGTTTCATGTCCTGCAGTCTGGGTAGATTGAGAAGAGATCCTGCTCATCTGAATGATAGCCTTTCAAGTATTTGAAAAGTGCAATCCTATCCCACCTCAGTTTTCTTTTCTCAGTAAGCACAGTATGTGGGGAGAATGCTGAAAACACTGTGCTGTGTTTGACCTTTGGAATTAGCTGACTACAAGGAACAGATTGGCTGCAAAATCCAAACCGTTTTCTGGCAAATAAATGCCATTTGCTTTTTGTCCTGTTGGAGTTAGATGGTTCTCTGCTGCATGATTGTAGTACTGTATTCAGGAAGCAGTTCATGAGTCTGCAGAGAGAGGGTGGACCAAGAAATCCTTTAAAGGTTAAAAGGACAGTATTATTAACTGCTTTTATTGTGGTGTTAACAAAAGTGCAATTTGTGCAAAGTTCTAGGGTTGAACTCAGAAAAAACTCTTGCATGGTGTTGTGGAAGAGCTAGAGGGGATCACTTTGTTAGTCTGTTATCTCTTGTGACAAAAAGAGTAAAGATTCTTGCACTGATTTAAAGATTAATACATTTTCTTTGGCAAAAGATTTGATAAGACTGCAGCACACAGAGGAGAGCTTCAGCAGCAGGACCCTCACTCGTAAGGATGTGGGGGAAGAGGGAAGGTGAAATGGAAATAGAAAGGCAAAGGTCCAGCATGCTAGTTGTCTTCTCCATGACTCTTAGGGGTTACCTAACAGGGGTAGGGAGTGTGGCAAGCAGTGGTTTTGTGGACAGTTACAAAGAGCTGTTCAGACACCAGTAGTGAGTGACAAGTCTCTCCAAGCAAGAATAGGGAGGTGCACCAAGGTAAGGTGGACAGAAGTCTTTGCCTAAGGCAAGACAGTCAGAGGAGTTTGATCCGTAGATATATCCAGTTGGCTGAAGACTGAAATTAGAGTGGGCAAAGGCAGTAGAAGCAAAAAAGTTAGAAGTGGCCAGACAGTTGCTCTCTAGAACATACAGCAGATGGGTAGCAGTGTAGGGAAAGCTTTGTAGGCAGGCTGCCTAATGCATGTTGCGGGATGTTCAAAAAGCAAAGCATGCTGCTTATAGACTGCCCCATAGCACTTCAAGTCTGGGCGGTTTACAAGTTAATTATGCAGGCGACACATTGCTTCCCCCCCCCAGCCAGCCAGCTGGGTACTGGTTTTACAGACCCTGAAAGGATAGAAGGCTGAGTCGACCTTGAGCCGGCTGCGTGCGATTGAACCTGCGGCCATGAGCACAGTTTTGGCTGCAGGACAGCCATTGAACCCTTATGCGACAAGGCTCTTATTCATTTCTACACACTCTCTTGTTCAGTAACTTTAATGTACTTTGAAACAGAGGCTGCTTTTCCGGGCCTCAAGACCTGCTTGGTGTGGTGTTAATGGGGCTGAAGGAAACCTAAAATGAGGTTTGCCCTGGGCCTGGGCTGAACAGGACAGTTGGTGAAGCAAGGAGGGCCCAGGGACCTTTCTGCAGGTAGCCAGTGTTCTTGGAAACAAAACTGCTCCACTGCAGAAAGCCATGACAAAGACTAGGGGTTGTGGAGGAGGCAGGAGTCCTGCCTCTTGGCTGGGCATCTTCTGTCCAGTGGAAGAGAGCCATGCCCGGGGTGTTTGGTCCAACTCAGTTGGCATTTGAAGTGCAGTTGCTGTGTTCACCCACTCTGTTCTAAAGGCCTTTGTCGGAAGGCCAGCTTATTTAGCCTGCTGTGGTTTGTTTCCTCCTCTTAGGGCAATGACCTCCAAGGAACGGAAGAGGAGAGCCTCGCTGCTACTCAGGTAAATCCTCAAATTGCCTTCTTCAGGCTGATGAGAAAGATGGTGATACTTGAATTCAGTAAGGCCAGGGGACAGGTAGCTTCCTGCTTTCTCTGCCTCTGGCATCAGAATTTGGAGACTGTGAGGACTCAGGTAATAGAGGCAAACTGCTAGAGGTGGTCACATGGTGGGGAGGGAAACTGGGCATTTTGAATAGCCACCCAAGAACGAACGACTTACTTTCCTCACCTCTCTGCTAGTTCCTGCTTAGCAGTCTCAGTACCAGTATGGTAGCTAAGCAGGTCTCTGAATGAGTGGAAACAGTACAAATCACAGGTTTTTGACAAATGAACTTTGTACAGCTAGAGCAAGGAAAAGTAAAGAGAGCATAAAGGAGTTTCTAGTGCAGGAATTTAATGGCATGGCCTACTTTTTAAAATCTGAGTCCTAATTCAGAATACTTATCTGATTTTTCATTTAATTTACAGGACGGAGATGAAGATAATGAGAGAGGTATGTTTGGCATTCATGTGGTTTTCAGTGTTCTAATATGCCTCAAGTTGCCTTTTGTAAATGGCAGGGGCACCAGCTTGTTTCCGATCGGGTTGTAAGTTCCTCCACCAAGGCCAGTGGCTGGATCTCAGCTCAGCCAACATTTCTCCTTCCAAGTTGTACGGGCACCTGGCAGTGACTTCAGTGGATGTTTCGCACACGCACATTATCCTCCAAATGCCCCGAGGGAACAAAACTCCCAAACCTCTTGGATTTGATTCTGGCATATCTGGTAAGTCTTGATGACTACGCTTTGCTGTGCACTGCAGTAATGAATGAGAAATCAGAATTCTACCGCATAGAATATGGAATGGAAAGCTAGGCCTGCTATGGAACACAGCCTGCTTCCATCCTTCAGCAATTGTCACGTCATCTTTTATGGCATCCAGCGAAACTTTGGAGCAAGTGAAAAGGCTTATCCGATCAGCAGTCCTTTCAGTGCTACTTGGTGGGGCAGAGTCAGAACCCTAACCCGCCCCTGGCTCAGCTGTTTGATAAAGAAGACCTCTAGGGAGCAAACGGACCTTACCTGCTGGGAATGAAAGGACAGGCCACTGTTTTGACTCCAGCTGAACGGCGTAAACCTTGGGGGTGCAAGCTACAGACTTGGCCTTTGGGAGGGATCCCATGACAGACACCTCTTTGTGGAAACGCTCAAACGCTACTGGCAGCACTAACATTCGGACAGATAGGGCTTCCCTCACAGAGGCTGGATGAAGCCTGCCATCCATCTGCGAACTTTGGCTTGACGTTTCTGCGTGAAGAACCGCTGGTCTCTGCCGCCACAGGGTGGCTGGCAGGCAAGCGAGAGAAGGAAAACAATGGACAGGACTCGCCCACTGTGAAGGATCTGGCCATTGGAAGGGTGGGCCGTCCAAAGGATCCTGGAAGGCGCACCCACCCGTACCGCGGAAGTGCCACAACATTGACTTCAGCTGTCAGTTGTCATCGGGCTTGGAAGATGAGTTCCTTTGCGCCGTGTGGCAGCTTTGGACGACAGACATTTGGAAAGAAGAACGGGTGTCTTCTAAGCAGACTCCTGTTTGTTTCACACCTCCTGCCGAGAGCTGGTGTTTTGGTCTAGAGAATTGGTTTCCCATGAAGAATGCCTGAGCCTGGGTGAAGGATTGGTTGATGTATTAAATGCCCCCTTATGTTTTCCCCCTAACGTTCCATCAGTTCTAATAACTGGCTTTGTATTTTCTAGGTCCTCTCTCTTCTAGCTTGTGCGTATGAAAATGTTTAAACTTCTTGTTTTGCCATATTTATTCCTGTTAAATCCTCTTAGATAAAGCAGGTTCTGGTGATGGTACACAAGAAGTATCTAAGCCTCTTCCTTCAGAAGAGAGCCTAACTGAGACAGATCACTCGGCTCACGAAGAGATGGAAGCAAACGTGTCTGTGAAAGAAGCTGAGGATGATAACATATCGGTTACAATCCAGGCCGAAGATGCCATCACTCTGGATTTTGATGGGGATGACCTCCTCGAAACAGGTAAAAATCTGAAAATTACAGATTCAGAAGCAAGCAAGCCCAAGGCGGAGCAGGAGGCCATGGCTCCGAACCTGGAGAAGGAAGGCCAAGCCTATGAGATGACCGAGGACCATCAAGATGGGAAGAAGGAAGACGGCGCGAAGGGGGATCCTGTCAAGAAGGAGGCCCGAGAAAGTGCGAAGAAGGCAGAATCTGGAGACAAAGACAAGGACTCTTTGAAGAAAGGTGCCTCGTCAACAGGGGCCTCTGGTCAAGCAAAGAGGTTGGTCTTTCTATGTCAGTTCTTTAAGATACGGCCAGCATTCATTCAGTGGGATCCCCTCTCCGTTCAGGGGGTAGCAGCAAGAACACTTGTAATTAGTCTCTCTCTTTTGCCTCCTGCCTGTAAAATGTTTTGATGGCCATAAGCTTCCTGTGGTTTTTAGAAAACGGGATCTTCGTGTATGCTTTGTTCTGCTGGTTGCCTTGACGAATTGACACGATTTTATTTTTTATTTTTTATTTTTTTTAATAGTCAAGTTATAAGTACCCTTGTGATGATAATGAACAACTTTCAATTCTAAGAAACACCAAAGTGAAGCCAAGTCCCAGTCCTGAAATGTGGAGAAGATTGCCATATAGCCACTGAATAAAATTGTCAGAAAAAATCTAGATCTTCAGGCATCTTGGGGAAAATCAGTGCAAGAAGCCATGATGCGGGGAATTCCCTTTTCCTCAAATAACAGTCCAGCCCTCCTTTCTCCCCCTTTTCTTTCTCCCTTCCCCTCCACCCCCCTTTTTTTGAAATGACTTTGTTTGATAGTTTAAGATTCTTGACCATTAAATTCTGCCTGTTTACTTTCCTTTGATTTGTTCCTCCCTTTAGCTCAACTAAGGAATCAAAGGAAAGCAAGACGGCCTCCAAGGATGACAAAGGTGATGCCTTCTGTGGGGTGTGTACTCTCGTAGCGGGTGGGCCAGAGAACCAGGGGGCTCCTTCCATTCTTTCTGCCTGGCCATCATCTGTTAAAAAGGAAGGGTAGCTGGTGCTCTCCAGGGACCCCAAAGCGAGAACCACGAGTCTCACAAGAACGCCTGTCATGCACTCGGTGACCAGGTGGCTCTACTGTCTCTCTTACACTAGCAAGGGTTTGTGGTAAGCAAAACTGTTCCGAAGGCAATCAGTACATTACTTAATAGCAAGCAGAGGCCAAAATCCAGTAGTCTCCTTTGGGTATTGAGGGCAAAGTGTCTTTTGCATCACCGTCTGCCTCAGATTTTGGTTGAATATCAGGAAAAACTTCTTAATTGTTAGAGTAGTACGCCAGTGGAACCCATGACCTCAGGGGGGAGGTGTTGAGCGCTCCAACACTGGAGGCCTTCAGGAGACAATTGGACAGCCCTCTGCCAGATCTGTTTGGATTTGGATTGCTGCCTTGAGCAGGGAGTGGGACTCAATGGCCTTAGAGGCCCCCTTCCCATTCTGTGATTTGAGGATCCTTTTAACAGGAGGTGCTGCCAAGGACTCTCCCACTAGTCTCTCCGTGCACCCTGGAAATTGAAGAGTGCTTAGGAAAAGGGACCCCTTTTCGTGAAGGGTGCAGCAGGTGTCTGTGCGTCTTTTCTTAGCTGGTGGCCATGCGCACATGTCCCACATCATCCCACCAAATTTTCTCTTCGCCTAGTATCCTTTGTGTACTGCTTGCTCTGCAAAAACAACGTAATTGTTAAATGAGCCCACATCCAGAATGGCTGGGTACTACCTGGGTGGTGTCTGTGCGTACAGAAACTGAAACGTGCTCTGCCTCTTGGTTTTCAGGCAGTGCCAGCAGCGGGAGCAGCAGCAGCTCGACCAAGAACTTATGGGTCAGCGGCTTGTCTTCCAATACAAAAGCGGCTGATCTGAAAAATCTCTTTGGCAAATACGGAAAGGTATGGCTGCGCTTAACCGTGCCTAGCCGGCTACGGGGGTCCGTCTTGCGTAGGAACCCGCTGGCCATTGATGGAGCATGCCCACCCGTGTTGACACCTGGGAGATTACGGTTCTTTTGGTCTTTAGAAGGATTTCAAAATCTAGGTGGTATGAACGTGTCAGTTTGTACTCATGTTGTCTTACAGAGCAGAAGGAAAGCATAATAGCTGTTAGAAGAGAACTTTTTATACTCTTTATTTGTTTTGGCGCAGGCTGTCAATATTAGGGCTTTCTGTTAAAGTCTGAGCACAACTAGCTTCCCATCCCATGGAGGAACATCCAGGGATTATCATCCCTTTCTTCTGGAAGAAGATGGTGGGCGTTTAGCCTTCAAGTCACTGACCTTGCTTAGTGCGCTTGCACGTGAACAGAAATTGCATTCTTTAATCTGAAATGGAACTCTGAAAGTTGATTATTTGTGATGAATGAATAGATAATTAAAAAAAGAGACATTCCTTTCTGTAGATCTAAGTAATGGTATTAAAGTCACATGGGCTGTATGAGCAAAGAATTTGAGTGCTCCATGATACTCAAAGCACTTTAGCTGGAAACAGATACATGGCTTGCAGCAACTCCTAAGTAATGGGTTCTTGTTTAGGAAACATGTGAACTAAAAAGTTCAATCCGTAGATGTTCATGATGATTTTAATAAATCGACCTTCCTTGGGAATGCGTCTTATCTCAGTGGAACACCTGGATCAGCAGCTTAAGACAAAGGCCTCTTGTTTTCATTGCAAACATCACCGCCGTATGTCTCAGCAAGTCAAATATTTCTATAAGCTTTATTAACGACACAACCCACAATGCCGCCATAGGATTGGGGTGCCAGTTTTCACAAAAAATCCAGGATGCGGGTTTGTGATTCAAATGCCTCTGCCAGAGGTGCGGCATTCATCATCTACCGCGTTGGGTTTGGAGTATATAAAAGACCGGGAGAGACCTGGTTCTGTAGTGTAGAGATTAAGGGCTGATTCCTAGGCTGGTTTCTGAGCCCCAACAGGACATACTAAACTCAGCTCATCATGTTCCTCATGCATCTACATCCCACGGACATCAAGAGCTTGTTCTGTGAAGGTGGAACTTAGTCTAGGGTTGGTTCAAGTGAGGAGATGAATGTCAGCAGCTGCGACTGCCATGTCTCTGGCAGGAAGATGACAGGTTGCGATGGCTGTGGAACTCCACGTCTGTCTCGGAGGCTGGCCAGGAAGTTTCTCCAATGGAAGCACAGGATAAAGGTCTCCCCCTCTGGGTTGTCTGGCTCCTAAGCCTGGGGATAGCTGTGAAGCGAGAATGAGGCCCCAAACCTGCCCGAATGGACCGTTCATTGTCAGGAAAAAAGCAGGTGGGCCGTGAGTACTGGAACCTGAATTTCTCTCTCAGAAGGTTCATAAGAAAAGAAAAATGGAAATTACAATGGAAACATGAGCTTCAAGGACAAGGAGAAGACTGTTCTGCTGCTTGTAGTCCACCCTTGGTCCACGTGGCAAGAGGCTTGGGTGTACAGGGAAGGCGACTTTAGGAGGGTCAGACCTGTTATGGAAGTGAAAGACGTGCCACATTGCGTGTGGCTGCAGCAGATGGTCTGTTGGGTTCATGGGACCTGCCAGGAAGATGGAGAAGCAGGATCTTCTCCCGGAGGTTCAGGAAAGCAGAGAGGGAGGGTCCTTGTTGGTGCCTTCGGGCCATAAGGCCCACCATCTTCTCTTTTCCGCCCTCCCTTCTCCCAAGAAGGAGAATATGCATCCATTCATTTCCACCTTCCTGAGACCTGTAACACCACATAGAGATGGCAGCCTAAGAAGAATTATAGTAAGCATGAGACCAACTATAGGATGGTATACCTCTGAGCAAACGTGGTCCATTCTTCTGCCTCTCCGGAACCAGAGTGCTGCACAGAAGGGTAAACATTGAGGCAAGACAAGAGAAGTAACAGCCTTTTAACATAACCAAGCAGGGGATCTGGAGGTTGACAAAGTGTTCCTGGATCTCAGGTGCTTGGAGTGGGCCTCTGGGCCAGGACACCTTGACGGCACGTTTCCCACCCCTTAAAGGATGTCTGCTTCCCAAGGAAAAGGGCCCCCTTGACCAGCAAGACGTCTACGAGACGGCGTTGAGGCCTCTGACCCTACGGATCAAGGAGTCTTTGTGAATGGCATCGGAGCCTCGTGGTGCCACCGTCCCCTTGACCTCCTGTCTCTGCCTGCTTTTCGTAGGTGCTTGCCGCTAAAGTGGTCACGAGCGCCCGGAGCCCCGGAGCCAAGTGCTATGGCATTGTGACCATGTCGTCCAGCACCGAGGTGGCCAGGTGCATCGGCCACCTGCATCGGACGGAGCTCCATGGACAGCAGATTTCTGTGGAGAAAGTAGGTGTGGCGTTGGTTTTGCGGGGGGGGGGCATGATAATCTGGAATGGACCCGTTTTAGAAAGTGGCCTGGACCTGACAGAAGCCAGGCGACATGCCTAGCAGCTGATCTTTTAGGAAGGTCAGGGTGCAGTTCAGTTGGGAAGGGGAAACGCTGCCTTCTGTGCCCTACGGTTGTCTTTCACACCCCTCGAGGAGGTGGCCTGGTTGTCTAACAGGAAGTGAGAAGAAACATAGCTGAAGGCAAGCAGAGGAATGCAGAATTATTTCGCCCAGCATGAAGCAGCGGTGTGGATGAGAGAATAGCATGATGGTGTGTCTGGATAGGGAGAGTTAATCTATTAACGTGCTCCGTTTTTTAAACAAACGAACAAAACATGCAGGTAAAAGGGGATCCTTCAAAGAAAGAGCTGAAGAAGGACAGCGATGAGAAATCTGGCTCTGGTCGGAATCTTGGGGAGAAGAAGACCACCTCGAGCGACAAAGCGAGCAGGTCAGCGCCTGTGTTGAAGCGGCTGAAGCCGCTGCCCTGGTGGGCACACTGGCCTCGTGGGCGGAAGCTAGACGGGGTCCGGTCTGGTTGTGAGACCCCTGGGCAGTCCCATCTCTGGGGAGAAGGGTTAGGAGAGCGACCTGCCTCGCGCTCTGGAGAGCCTCTGGCGGCACCTTGCCTCGGTGGGCTCAGGGTCAGGGCCTGACTGCCAACCCTTTCCCTAAGTTTCTGCCTTTTGTCCTTGTCTGGCCCACCCTGCCCAGGGAGCTTTTTGAAGGCCCAGGTGTCATCTCTGGCTCTTCCTGGGAAAGTGGCATCTTCCTCAAGGAAACAATTGTTCTTGGTGAAAATGGCAGTAGAGGGGACCTGAGGGCCCCACCGGGAATCCTAAACGTTTGGCCCAGGTGACCCCTGCACTCAAGAGTGTTTTCTGAGCCATTTGCACACCTGCTGTGCACATACTGGCTTTGCACATCTATAGTCATGGAGCTGTGGTACATTTCTCGCTCTCGCCAATAAACCGATCTATAAGCTGGCAAAACAGGGAGCATCTAGCTTGGCAATTGTGTAGATTGAGCAGCTTACTCATTCCAAACTGGGGGTTCTTCTCCGTGACCACCTCCCATCCTTTAAAGGGTGGGTCTCTTAGGAAGCCAATTCACCTCTGCTTGTTGTCTCCTTCCCCCCCCCTTTTTTTTTAAATATACAAAGGACTCCTTCCAAAAAGGAGGAGAAGAAATCTGACAAATCTGAGAAGAAAGAAAGCAAGGAGGGGAAAAAGCCGGAGGGAAAAGAGGAGAAAAGTGACACTGGATCCAGCAGCCCCAACCGAGACCCTGCCAAGACCTCGGAGGAGAAGAAGCGAACAAGTACGCCTTCCACCACGGAGGCATCCGCCCACTGTGCTGCTGGGGGGGGGCTGCCCGTCAGTTTTGTTGCCAACACCCTCCGCCTTTGCTGGGTTTTTTCTTGAAGAGTACATGGCGGTGCCTTCTTCACTGCTGCCTAGAATAGCTGACAAGGTTTCCATATAATCTTTTTAAACCGTTAGTGCAGAGATAGTTTGCCTGTTGTTTTGGGGACCCATGTGCATGCTTTACAAAATGATCCCTGTGGTTTTTCCCTCGTTCCCTTGTGGGCTTACACCTGTCCCTTTCTCCTCCTCCACAGGTGTAAAAAGCCCAAGCCACATGGTTGTGTTGGACCAAACCAAAGGAGACCACTCCAGGCCCATCCGAAGGGGGGGACGCTTTGAGAAGGTGAGTCTTGTTCAGGATACTCAGGACGGGGGGCGTCCAAGAAGTTGCTAGTTGGCCAGGGTGGCGTGGCTTCCCTTGCTGCCCTCTTGGCGTGGGGGCCTGTTCTGTCCCTGACTGCAGGCCTTTGGAATGGGTCTGGCAGCCAGGGTGTCAGCGAAGAGCTCCCGAGAAAAGGCTGCCCTCCTTCCCACCCTGGTCCTTCACCGTCCAGGCTAGGGGTGGTCTCTGGACCGCTACTAGCCAGCAGCTCGGGGCCAGATGTTTTGGAGGAAGAACCTGGCGGGGGGGGTAGGGTGAGGAAGCCAAGCCCCTTGTCGTCCTTCCTCAAGCCACTCTTTCCCCTGCCAATTTTTTTTCTGCATTTAGTATTACGCTGTTGTTCTACTTTTCTGCACAAAGTAGTATATAAATTGGCTACCAATCATATGTAAACAGTATTTGAGAACAGGCTGAAAGTAAGGTGAGAACCAGTTAGGCAAGAAAACAGTTAAAGCCATCCCAGTAACCCCGAGCACTACAGAGTGGGTGAAACATCAAGAGAGGGGCTCTTTGCACCCTTTCTGAGCGCGTCATAGGGGTGCTGTTCCTTGCTTTTTATTTCAAAATGTTTCTGTGCCATTTCATTTTGATTTATGCACGGCAAGGGTAATGGCAAGGGCTGCTTGGTCCTTTGGGTGCTGGAGGGTTTCCTCTGGCGGGTGGTGGCCCTGCTGGGTTGGAGGTCCTGCTGTGAGCAACGGCCCCTCACTCCAGTGTTGGCAAAACCTTGTCTCTAGCCACCCATGTTAAGGCACAAAGAGCGCTTTCTTCAAGATAAAATGAAGTTCAGAGACTACCGGGGCCGAAAGGACATCCTGCCGTTTGAGAAGATGAAGGAGCAAAGAGTGCGGGAGCACATTATTCGTCTGGAGCGAATACGGCGGGCGGTGGAGCTGCGAAGGTAAGGGAAGGGTGCTTAGGCGCACTGGGCCAACACGCGCCTGTTCTTCTAAGCCTCTCGTGGGGCAGTTCCCGAACGCCGTTGGGTCGGTTGATTTCACCTTCAGAGTAGACTCTGTGCGTGTGCGTTTGATCTCAAGAGCAAACCTGGGCAAGGCTTCCAGGCTCTCCGAGCGGGAGTTCAGAGCAGGATAAATAACTGCAGTGTAATCCTAGCTTAAGGTGAGGATGGCGCAGCATCACCTCAGGGGTTTAAGACAGGGTTGACGGGTGTCGGTTGCCAGCAAAAGTAGAAGGAAAACGAGTTGACGACTCTTTGGACGCACAAGAGGGTTGCAGCGATGACTGTGCACAGCAAGGTTAGGCAGAAGAGACTGGAAGCCATACAGATAGGCAGCTCTTTTTCTCATTACCTGCCTTGCATGTAAGCACCATTTTTTTGGGCGCTGGTGCTAGTTTGTCAGGAGCCTGCCGCCTCTCTTATGGGGGCTCCCTGGGAGTCATTCGATGTTCCCCGGTGAGAAACTGCTCACACAGGACAAGTTGGCAGCGCTGCTGCAGCTGCTGCTGTCTTCAGATGAGAGAATTGGTGGCTCTGGGGACGTTATCGGCCCGCAGGTGCCATCATGTGTGGGGCTACGGTCTCAGAAGTTGCCTCCCTCTGGGGGAGGGAGAGGGGTTCGTCTGGATGGCTCCCAGGAGGACCGGACTCCTGCCCCGCAGCTCTTGAGACGGTTCTGTCCCTGTCCTACGAGCCGGCCCAATCTCAGCATCCTGCTGTGGCTCGGAAAGGACGGTCAGGTCCGGAGGTTCCCCTTCCCTCTTGCGGGTGTCAGAGGTAGAAGCGACAGCCCCCCGGAGCAGCCTTATTTCTGAAGCTGCCCCCCCTTTTGCAGGCGAAGAGAAATTGCCGAGCGCGAGAGGCGGGAGAGGGAGCGCATCCGACTCATGCGTGAGCGCGAAGAGCGTGAACGGTTGCAACGTGAGAGGGAACGCCTGGAGATCGAGAGACAAAAGCTAGAGCGTGAGCGGATGGAGAGGGAGCGCCTGGAGAGGGAGCGTATCCGGATTGAGCAGGTAGGCCTGAGGCTCGGGCCAGCCCTCTCTCTTCGGATCATGCCCTTTGTAACCTGGAACACCAAGGGCAGGGGTGCCTCCGCCCCCCGTACCTGCCAGTGTGGTGCCTGCGGACGCGGCCTGCACGCTTAGGGCGATGCGGGAGTTTTTTGGAATGCCTACAGTGGGTTCATTCCAATTTCTGCTGTTGGAGCTCAGCATGCGCCTTCAACTGTTCCTGTGTAACCCTGTGTGCGCGCCTTGGGAACCAAGAGCAGTGGCCCACCTTGCACGCCACATCTTGCCCCAAGCTGGGTTGCCCCTTTCGAGAAACGGAGAGAGAGGAGGACCTGGGGCTTTGCCTTTGTGTTCGAAGCGCTCTTGAGCCGCCGCCCCCCACAAGCCCCAGAGACCGGCGCACGCTGCCGCCCAGTTGCGTTTGCTCCCTCAAAGCCCTTCTTCTCTCTGGGCCAGGAGCGCCGCAAGGAAGCTGAGCGGATTGCCCGAGAAAGAGAAGAGCTTCGTCGTCAGCAGCAGCAGCTTCGCTACGAGCAAGAGAAAAGGAATTCCCTCAAGCGGCCTCGCGACGTGGACCACAGGTAGGGCTGACGTCCTTGGCCGGTCGCGGGGACGCTTCCCAACACAACGCTGTCTGTGGAAGGCTGAGAAAAGCTGGCTGGGCTGGAGCCAGGCCTTGGCCCCTGAGAGCACAGGCCTGGCCTATCCATCACTCTTCACCCACAACCCCCTTGCACCCCCCAGGAGAGATGACCACTACTGGAACGAAAGTAAGAAGATGGCCATGGACGCAGGGGGCCGCTTTGGCCACGGGTCCGAATACAATCGGCAGCAGAACCGCTTCAGTGACTTTGACCACAGAGAGCGTGGGCGATACCCAGAAGGAGGCGCCGCAGTGGAGTCATCATCCTTCGACAGGTAGGGAGAGGGCTCGTGCGCAAATAACAGCGGCAGAAAGAACTCCGTGAGCGAAGGGCTTGCCACACGTAGCAGACACAGGCTGAACTCTTGTTGCGCCACTACGCGTGCATAACTGGGAAGTTGCGCCTGCAGTGGCTGTGGGAGCACTGAGGCGGGAGTGCTGTCCCCAAAGCTTTTTGGGGGGAGGGGGAATTGCACAGTTAGTCATGCCATGGGTGCAGAACTGTGTAAGGAGCTTACCTTGTTACCCTGCCTGTTGAGACCCATGTAACTTCACGCCATGCTGATGTGAACAGGATTTTGCCCGGAGTGCCGCCGTGACTGTCATGGAAGGCAGCCTGCTACGGCCCCACAAGGCCTGTCCTTGCAGGTGGGGCTGGTCTCCTTCCAGGCAGTGGGTCCTTCTTCCCAAAAGGCTGGCGACTCTGAGGCAGGTCCCAGAACTTGAGGGGGAGCCCCAGGCCAGCCTGGAGAGGCCGGCTCTGCCGAAAGGGCCTCCCTTGCCTGGGCCACCTCCAAAGGCAATGGCTGGCGGGACCTGGGCCTGGCGCACCCTCAGTGGCCCCAGGAAAGCAGCGGAGGCAGGTGGGCGAGGCGGGCCCGTTTCAGGCCCGAGGTGAAGTGGGTCGCCCTGGGAGTCAGGGGTGCCTGTTCCCTTCTGTTGGGCTGGGGCTGCAGGCAGAGGCTAGCTGGGAGCCAGGAAGGACCTTCCGAGTTGAAAGTTCTGCCGGTTGAATTCCGAGACGGGCAGCGAGATTCCTGGGCAGAGCACGGGTCTGGCGGGCGCTGCTCCTGAAGCCAAGGGGTGGGCCGGCCTCCCCTCCCGGAGACGCTCCTTTCCACTTGGCCCCGTCCGGTGGGATGCCGGGGTTTTGCTAAACCTCTCGAGGGATGTGTTGTGAGCCTGAAGTCTGGCCCCCACCCTCTCCTCCTCCTCCTCCTCCTCCTCCTCTGTGCTTTGATGCACGTTCTGGCCATCCCCCTTGTATAGCCTGGCTTGGTCATTCTGTCCTTGGCAAGGTGGAGGGTGGTGTGTGTGTGTGCCCTGAGCCGCGTGGAGCCCCTGCCTGGCTTGGTCATTCTGTCCTTAGCAAGGTGGAGGGCGGGGGTGTGTGCCCTGAGCCGCGTGGAGCCCCTGTGTGCCAAACTGAGCGACCCATCATCTGAAGACACTCCTGACTTTTGGGACAGGCGGGAGCGGTTTGTCAACCAAGGCGAGGGGAAGAAGGCTCGGCCGACGGCGAGGCGGGAGGAGCCGAGCTTCGAGAGGTACCCCAAGAACTTTGACTCCCGAAGAAACGAGCCCCCCCAGCCCCGAAATGAGCTTCGAGACACCGACCGGCGGGAAGTGAGAGGAGATCGAGACGAGCGGAGGACGGTGATCATTCAAGACCGGCCGGACATCCCCCATGGCCGGCACCCTCGAGAAGCCGGGCCCAACTCCTCCCGGCAGAGCTCCTGGAAGGGTGAAGGGGGCATCAATCCCGACAAGCGGGATGCCAGGTGACTTGTCTGGGGAGCCTGGGCTCTTTGGGGTGGGGCTCCCTATAGGGGTCGTTGCTGGCAGGGGCCGTTTCCTCCCACCCCCTCCTCCCATTCCTCTCCCTTGGAGGGGGCCCAGGGCTTCCTCCTGCTTGCTGAGCCAAGGGAGTCCCTCGGGATTATTAGGGCCGAGCCTTGGCGGCATCAAAGGGCACCAGTCGCCCAAGACAGACACATGGCTTTGTCTGGCAGGACGGGGTTTGCAGGAGAGGATGGTTGGGAGTTTGGAGGAAAAACAGCAAGACACCCCGCCTGAAAGCCCTGCAAACAAACCTGAGCCCATAGTCGTTCTTCCCCCCATCCACTCCCCCCTGCCCCGTGCAGTCTCATTTCTTCCAGCACTGAAACTGCCTCGTGGTTGTGGTTGTTCTTTTCCCAGAGAGAGGCCTGAGAGGTCTGGCCGAGAGGTCTCCGGGCATGCGGTGAGAGGGGCCCCCACTGGAAGCCGCAGCGGTGCTTCTGGCTATGGCGGCCGAGAACCGGAGCGTGGCGTCATGGAACGAGGGAGTGGGGGACAGGTGGGTCGAGCCTCCTTTTCTTCTCACATGGGGTGGAGAGTGTCCGCTTTGGGTTGGCCGTTGGGAGGGGGGCGAGCTGTCGCTCCCTTGAATCCTTCAGAGGTACCAGAATATGGCTGAGCCTGAAGCAGTGGCCGTGGCAGTGGTGGAAGGTCCCTTAGGTGGTGTGAGGAAGACCTTCCACTGAAGTTACAGCTATCCCTATCTATTTATTTAAACTCTTTTTAGCCCACTTTTCGCCTGAAAAAGGACCTAAGGTGGCTGACAATAATTAAAACACAGTATTAAAGCAAATAACACTGCGTATACAATACTAAAAGGATCAAATGAACACCATACTTTAAAAAGAAAACCATAAACAAGACCAAAACACACTCAAGATCAAATGAACACCATACTTTAAAAAAAAAACCATAAACAAGACCAAAACACACTCAGTGCAAGAAGGGACCCTAATCCATTTTGAAAACCCCACTCAGGCAGCCCTTCATTGACTCTGCCTAGAGGGAAAAGCTCTTTGCCTGCTTGTGGCCCGTAAACGACGGCGAGGCCAACCTGGCCTCCTGTCAGAGGGGGTGCCGGAGTCTGGGAGCAGCGACCCTTGAGCCTTCCAAGCAAGGGGGGGTGTCAGCGGCCTTCCTGTCGCTCTGGTGGGACCAGAGGTCTTCTCTTGGTTTGAAGTGGCCCTTGGTGGGAAGCAGATGGCCGTGGAAAAAGCTTTATTGGGCACCTAAAGAGCCACGTTGATCCAAAGGGTGCCACATTTGGGCTGCCTGACTCTGTGTGTCTTGGTGGCGGTCAGGTGCCAAGACTGCCTTTGGAACGGGACCTCCCCTTGGGGCAGACAAGGGTCCTTGTCCGAAGCCTGTATCTGAGGGGAAACCTCTTGCTTTGGGGGGCGGGCCATTCACAGCTTCGTCTGGGGTGGATCCTTTGGGGACCGGATGTCCTGAGATGGTCTCTCAGTGGCTAAAACGCAGTGTCCTCCCTCCTCCCCCCCCATAGCATTATAACGAAGACCGCCATGTGGTTGAGCGTCACGGCCGCGACGCCGGGCCAAGGAAAGAGTGGCACGGCCCCAGTTCACAAGGGAGCAGCTACCACGACTCGAGGAGGATGGGAGACAGCCGAGCCGGAGGCAGCATGATGTCTCCCCATTCAAGGTACCGGGGGCGCCTTATCTTCCACCCTCCCTGCCACACCTTCCCAGCCTGACCTTTGCACCCGGACCGAGAGGAATCAAACCCACGGTGCCCCCCCCCCCAGTTGTCCTCCAGCTAAGGTTGGTCAGCTGTCGGGCTGCCTCTGCCTCGCTTGCCAAGCTTTTCCCCATGCCCAAGTCAAAGTAGGTGTGACCCATAAGGAAAATGGAGCCGGAGCCTTGGGTGGGTGCCCTGCTGCTCGGTGGGGTGAGGGGGACAAGAGCCCAGGCCTCCCCCCCCCCGAGGTGAGGTGGCCGACTCAGCGGCCATAAGACAGAAAGAAAGTTGGCCACCAGAGCAAACCGGGTGAGAGCCGACCTCCTCTTCCCACCCACGGGGCCTGTGAGTGACCCCAACGGGAAACCCAACTGGAGGGCAGCCCCTCCCTGGCCACCAATACGCAGAGGATGCCCGGAAAAAGTAGGGGTCCTCCGACGGCTTCTTCCCACCAAGGGACATCTCCCTGCCGGCCTTCCAGACAGCAGCAACCTCAGAACGCGCCGGCCACGCACCCACCCCTTCTCCGTGGGGTTTGTGAAGGAGCCCTGCTGGGCTGGGCCAGGGGTGGCCCAGGAGCAGGACCCAACCGGCAGGCCCTTTTTGGCTTGCCCAGCCCCGAGCCTAGGCAGGGAGGCCGGCCCGCGTGGGAAACGTAACCCTGTTTCTCTTCTCACTTGGTTCCAGTAATTCTTCGCCCATTAACAGAGTTGTACAGATGACGGGCAATTCCATGTCGAGGGGAAGTGGTTCAGGATTTAAGCCCTTTAAGGGTGGACCACCGCGACGATTCTGAGGCCCGCCACCCACCCACTCCTTGGTTTCGAGATAACTTATTGGAAGACGACTCTTGTGAACAAAAGGAGCCTTAGCTAAGAAAACTTGTCTCTTCTCTCTCTCTCTCGTGCTCTCTTCCCCCCCCTCCCCTTCACCTCTTATATGTAATTCTTTTCCCTCTCTTTTGGAGGCATTTTAACTAAGTTAGGCGGTTGGGTTTTGGATAGTTGGCTGTCCCTTTTTGAGGAGCATTTCGCCCTGTAATTCTAGGCACTCTGAAACCAATTGGAGCAAAATATCTCAATGCTGTACAAAGAGGCCTCGTTTGCACTTGGTAGTTTTAATTTGCCTGCGTTAGCTGTGTTGATGTCAGACTGGAAAACGAGATGCTGACAGAAAACATGCCAGTCTCTTAAGCTGTACATCAACCACCACCCTGTCTCCCCACCCCACCATCTCCCAAGGCTTTTACAGTGTGTAGAGAATAAAGTGGGTTGTTTCATCTCCGAGTATTATGTAACCTATTTTTGCAAAAGTTGTTACACTGAGTGGACCTGTATCCTGGCCTCTGTACCCTTTTGAAATAAACCTTCATAATCCGTCCCGCTGCTTCGGTCTTCATTCTGCCCAGGTAGACGTTGTGCCCGAACAAGTCCAGCCTTGCCCCTTCACCTCTCTTGGCGGAGGAGGGACCGGCGATGTGTTTGCTCCCCCCTTGCAGAGACCTTTCCTACCTCCTCTCTGGAAGAGAGGCTCCCCAGGGTGGGGGCCCTTGGGCCAGGAGCCATCCTGACAGGTGCTGTCTGGCTGCGTCTGGGCTGCTCTGTTGTCCTTTTGCCCTCAGGGGGCTGCGAGGCAACAGAAGGCTCCCTGCCTGCTTGCTAAAAGCCATGACAAAGGAACACTGTGTTTTTGCAATATTTATTATGAAAAGTATTTTTAGCCTGCCCTTCATCCTAAGAGACAACGGGAATAATTAGAAAACACGAACTAAAACAGGCCACAAAGATTGTACCAGAGAAGATGACAGGAAGAACAGGGCAGAGCAAGGGCTCCCACCGACATCACGCCTCCCACAGCCAGTTGCAATTTGCCCTGGCCTCACAATGAGAGGACGACGGGCAGCATTGGAACGTCGGTAAGGAAGCTGCCTAGAAGTGGGAGCAGCATGGCGGTTTCTACTCAGTGTGCTTCTGTTGGCAAAAGGGGTCCAGAAAAGGTCCTTTCTTCTCTGAAGGTCTTTGGAAGAGGGGCAGGCCTCCCCAGGAAGAGAGGCCACGGAGGACTGGAAAGGGGCGCCCCACCAGGACCGGGAGCTACAGCCCCGTGCAAAGAGGCTGTGGACTACAGTCGCCAGGCCCGCTTTATCCAGAAACAGCTGTGCCGGCCACATCAAGCGGAGCAGGTGAAATCTGCCCACCCCCTCTGGAGGACAGCTAGCGTTGCCAGGAAAGGGCCCAGCCAGGGCAGTAGGGGGTTCGAGGGAGGGAGGGGGGGTGATGGTGGAGGTGGTCACTGTCAGGCCTGGTGAAAAGACTGAGTGCCTTTCAGATTGGGGATCGCCGCCTCCAGCACCCACCACTGGCTACCGAGGTTTGGCCTGACGGGAGTCCCAGCAACATCTGGAGACCCACCCTTGGCCCACCCTGACTTAAGCGTGCAGCTGGCACGTGGCGCTGGGCCACCACATGTTGGGGAGTGCCTGGGTCGGGGTTGTAGCAACTGTGGAGTGCCAGCCATAGTCCGAATTCATCTTCACACCTTACCCCCACCCCCGCCCCGGTGTGTTTATTAAAAGAAAGAAAGGCCACCACTTGACTCCACCACTTTCCACCACTTTCATTTGTCCAGTATCCGGGGATACGAAACAGGCTGTGCGGTTGGGTTAAAAAAAAAAAGACACCTAGCCCCCCAAAGTTGTTCTTGGACCCCAAAGAGGAGCTCCTCTCTAGGCAGCCGCCAGGCCCCTCGGGTGTGCCTGCCAAGAGCCCCGGAAGAAGCCATAGTTCTCTCTGCCCATTTCCTAGCTACGGAGGTTTCAGGCAGATTTCCCCCACCCACCCCGTTAATTTGTGTTAAGTCCTTTTTTCAAAAATCTAATCTGAATCAGCGATGGTGGGGACTTACCTTCTGGCAGAAAATAGCATCATTTAGAGATGTGCTGCGTGAAGGTCCTGCCCCATCCACTCCATCAGGTTTTTCCCCTCTATCCACTGTTCCCACCAAGTATTCTTCCCCCCCCTCATGTCCCCCTTTGGGGTTGTTTCTTTTAACCTTCAAAAGCTCCATGCAGATTAGCTTGGCCCTGCAGGAAGGATACTCCGGCTCTCTCCTCCCTCCCGTCTCTCACCCAGCTGGCTTCACGTTGCTGTCCCCCTGCCTCTCTCCTCTCCTAGCCATCAAATATATTGCCACAAGAGTCAGAAATGAGCCTACGGCAGGTGCGCTGTCTGGAAGCACACCTGATCTCACCTTCCTGGCCCATCAAACCACCAAGATCTGTACCTTCTCTGCAGCCCACCCGCCCGCCGTAGAGAACCATCGTCTCATATACTCAAAGGCCAAGGGAAGCTTGGCCGTTTCCTCGGTGCAAGCCAGCCACTGCTTGAAGCCTCCCTTCCCTGTGTGTCGGGGTGGCCTCCCCCCTTCTCTTCACTCAAATACTCCGGCATCGTTAGTAGTTGAGACAGGTCTTTTTATTATTATTATTACTACTTGATGAGAAAAGTCACTTTGGACTATTAAAAATTATAAATACATTTTATATGTGTGTGGATATATAAAATTAGACAGAAAACAATGAGGATGGCAACAGTGGTTAGCTCAAGCCACCAAAAGATGCTGACAGGATCTCACGGGAGGGAGCGCCCAAAGGCAATCACAGTGTCGGCTCATGCACATGATCTGGCCTGATAAAAACGGGCCGCGGGTGGCCGGCCTCCAGTCTGAGGTCCACCAAGGAAATGAAGGGCAAACCCCGAGGGAGGGGTGCCACTGACCCGTCTTCCCCTGGGCAGTTGACCACTGGCGCTGTATGGAGCAGCCACGTCAGGCTCAGAACGGGCCACTGGGTCCACGCGCTTGGGCAGAGGTGGTCTGCTGGGGAGCTGGGGTGGGTGCAACTGAAGTCGGCCAGCGTGGGGGGCGGCAGAGGCTGGGGGCTGAGTGGGGGGTTGCTTCCCACCCACCCACCGGCACACCGCCTCTCCCGCAAGCGGAGGAAAGCCCCAGTCCAGGGCAACAAGATTTGTTTTTCAAGCAACATCTTGTACACCTACGTGCTTTTAAACATAGAAAATTATAAAAAGTATTTGGCAGTGCTCAAGTGAGGATGTTACCGATGATGAAAAAATGCCCGGTCTCCGTCAGCTCCTCTGTTGCCGCAGGCACAGACCCTACGTGGCTGTTTTTCCCGCCCGCCCGACATCGCTAAGCATCGGTCCACCAAGAGGCCTGAGCTGCAACATCTCCGGCCTGCGGTTCCCTCGGCTGCACCCCTGGCTTTTAGGCTGTCAAGTCCCATCTCAACTGGAATGATTGACTGGAACCACCCCCATCACCACTTCCAAGGAGAGCCACAGAGGGAGAGGGAGAGGGCGGCTGGGTGGCCGGCCGGCTGGGAGGGCCCTTTGATGCAAGGTAGAGCATCTGCCGCTCTGATCTGTAGCTCTGGGTCCATCTCAAGAAGCGGGGCCACGTGCTGCTGATGGAGGCGGCGCGGCAAAAGAACACGGCTGTCCTCTCCTCCCCCTCCTCCCCCCTTGCCTGACGCTTCTAAGCGGCCACTACGGAGCTGCTGCTGCATCACTGGCACCCACGGACATCGTCCTGAAGGTGGCTCGCAACGGACGAAACGGGACCCCCCAGCCCAGGGGACCATTGCCAAGGATGGCACGTAAAAGCCGGCCAGATCTCAAGAGAGTTCTTGGAAGCCCACTTGGGCAAGAGATGGAAGAGAGAGGAAAACGCGCCTCAGGACGCCGTGGCTGGAGTGTTCCAAAATCCCACATTCCAGCCACGTGCCACAACATCACACGAAAAAAGCCCTTCGGGGGGGTGGGGTGTTCCTGTGGCGCTGACGCAAAGCAGAGGAAGCAGCCAGCGCTTATCGGCCAGGCTCCTTGTAGGTTCTCATCCCGTCAGCAAGCGAGCAAATCAAGAGGAAATCCAGACCAGCAGCCCCCCCCCCGCCTCTTCCTCTGGGTGTGCAAAGGGGGGGGGTGCTTCCCTTCCCAGTGGAGTGTAGAAAAAGAGCAGACGGGAGAAATCCACATAATGTAAACAAACACCTCAGTGACCCTTTTTTTTTTACCCAAATGAAAGCCCTGACTGTAACTTCAGCCGTAACTTATGTGCTAAGGTGGACAAGAGAAGATGGCACTGTTTTCTGAAAGGCAGACGGGAGAACGTGAAGAGCCGCACTCCTTGCATTTCTAAGTCTTAACAAGATACCAGCTCAGTTCAGTTCTGAGCAAAGCCCCCGTCCCTTTTCCAAATTTTAACACACTGGGCAGAACGGTCTGCCTCTCAGGCCAACGGTGGAAGGCAAATAATTCGGTCTTAAAGGGCACAAATACACGGACATATCCACGCACGCACACACACATACACACACAAAGCCAGAAGCAGCAGATAGAAACTATGGAGCATCTCTCATGGAAATGATCTGCTAAGCATCCACATCAGGGCGTGAGCATTCCCCTTATTTTGTGCACCTTCTTCAGAGAGAAGATACCAAGGAGCGACAAGGTGGGAAGGGCTAGGAACCGCTTTCCAAAGGATTAAAACTCGACCGACACCCCGAGAGGAGCAGAGAGCTTCCAAGAAAAGAAAAAAAGAAAGGAAAGGGGAAAAAGGTCAAACCTCAAGTTTTCAAGGATACTTCTAGTCATCGCCTTCTGAACAGCAAGATTGTCACACCGACAGATTATCTGCCACTGGTTGAGGTTTGCTTTATGAAGGACAGCACATTGTGTCAGAAGCATCTACAAACTGATAGAGAAAGGTATCAAAAGGATGAAGGTCATATCCCTCCGGCGAGGAAAACCTGGGCATTCTGCCCCACTCCGGCCAAGGTTAAAGTTCAACACGGGCGCCACGTCAGCGGCCCATAAATATCAGGAAGGGAGAGCACGACGTTGCTTTGTCGCCTGCAATTTTAAAAAACCAGGTTCCTGCAAGGACTGCTTTAGCCACGTGCGATTTTTCCATGTCACCCAGGGCTCCTTCCCTCTCTTCCAAAACCAACTCCCAGCAGGAGGGTCCAAGGCCGTCTCTCCCACCAAAGGCCAGCAAGGCCCAGCCTCGGAGCGTAAAAGCGAGGGCTGAGCCACCGCCACCCCTCCAGGTGATGACGGCCGGCCGGCAGCTCCCGGTCTCCTTTGCCAACGGGGCCGCCAAACCAGCGTCCTCAAGTGGGCTCTGGGAGACGTTTTCTGACTCCAGAGGCGGTGCGCTTTCAGGCTTCACGGACGTGGTCCAGAGTCTCTCTCTCTCCCTACGACGGTCCCTTTGGTAAGGCATACGAGCAAACCTCCTCATTTCCATTTTAAGGGACTTGGGCAGGGCGGGATGAGGGCCAGCCGCAGAGAATCAAACACGTTTCATCCCACAGCTCATAATGCATCATCAGCTTTCCCTTCCAGTCCCTTGTTCCTGCACCAGGAGAGATCCTATAAATAACAGCACCGCTCTGGGCTACTTTTATCTACACGGCACCCCATCCAAACAGAAAGGGCCAAACTGAACGGTGAGGCTAGTCGGAAACGAGCCTCCGTTCCTGACGCTCCGCTCGGCTGCGATCTGTCCTTCTGTGATTCCCGGAGCAGAGTTCCCTTAACCTGGCCTTTTGCACTGGAGCAAGAAGAACCTTGGCTGCAGACTCGTCAGGAGACACACACGCACGCACGCACGCACACTCCACTGCCACCAGGCAGGAAGTCTCAGGTGGGAGGGGGCCGCAAGTGGCAGCCTCTCTCCGGGCAGCTCAGACACGTGCCTTGGGCCAGCGCCCAGCCAGAGAGCCCCATGGCTCCTTCCGGGGCCGAGAAGAGGCCCTCGCTCGCTTCACTCGCTCACCAATCGTCCCGGTGGTCGAGGTCCCAACAGTGTGGCGGCGCGTCCTTCTCCCCCCCNACCCCCCCCCCCCAGAAGTCATGATTTTCTCACCGGAGCGTCAGGCAGCGCGACAGAGCTCTCCCTCTGGAGGAGCCCAGGCGCCCGGCTCCGTCTGTCTGTCTGTCTCGGGGGGGTCCCCCGTCCTATGGGGGCCTGCCAGGCCCAGGCGGCACAGGGAGGGGGCGTCTCCACAGGCTCCCTGGCCGGAGGCTTCCAGGCCGGCCTGTTCTCGGGTCCGGGCAGAGTCTCGCCCCCTCCCCGGCTACAGGATGGCACAGGTGGTCTTCTCCTTCTCCTTCTCTTTCTCCCGCTCCTTCTCTTTCTCCTTCTCTCGAGGCTCCTTCCGTTTCCGCTCGCTGCCCGCAGAGGGTCTTCCAGTGGACAGAGCGGCCACTCCCTGTGCCGGCTACCAAGAGAAAAAAAATGGGGGAGGGAGGGAGGATGCTGCTTTCCAGCTCAACCGCACCCATCCGGCCTGCAATGGATGATTGCCCCTCTGCCCCAGAGGCCCTTCAACCGGCCCCGGGGACTCGCTTCCTGAAAGCCAGCAAAAAGGGGTCAGGGGGTTCTCTGGCCTGGGATCAAGGCAGGGGATGGAATGGCAGCTGGCCGGTTCCATTGGCTAGCCTCTCCCCTGGTTCAGGATCTTGACCTTTCTGCTTCTGGGGGAGAGGGGGGCCATGGCCCTCTCTCTCACACACACACACACACACACCAGAATTCCTGCCAGAGGTGTCAGCCTAGGAGATTCCTGCCCTTTTGCCTCCCATGCCACGACCAACCGCTGCTTTGTAAAAGGACACGCCAACCCCACTGTGCTAGAAGCAAAAAAGGCCTATTCTCTCCCCCCTGCCCCATCCCCAATAGGGTGGTTTATCTCACTGCAGACTTTTTTGTTGTTGTTGATCACTTACAGCACGTTTTAAAGAATATAAAGCTTGCAAGTGCCACGGTTGAGAATCAGCACAGACCTGTGGGGGGGGGGGGGGCAGAACCTGAGCCTGTGTGGAGCTTCTGGAGGTAAAGCAGGGTGTGCTGCTGAGCTCCAGCCCTTTCTCTGCGGATCCCACTTTGGAGAGAGCACGCGGTGCATGGAAAGGGCAGAAGGGGCAGAAGGGCCTTACCTGGACCTGAGCAGGGGTGGCAGCCGCTGCTGTTGCTGCTGCTGCCGCCGCCTGTTCCTGCTCCTGATAGTACGAGCCTGTGTGGAGCTTCTGGAGGTAAAGCAGGGTGTGCTGCTGAGCTCCAGCCCTTTCTCTGCGGATCCCACTTTGGAGAGAGCACGCGGTGCATGGAAAGGGCAGAAGGGGCAGAAGGGCCTTACCTGGACCTGAGCAGGGGTGGCAGCCGCTGCTGTTGCTGCTGCTGCCGCCGCCTGTTCCTGCTCCTGATAGTACTGGGAAGCCCGCCGGTCCTCTTCCTCCTGGAGCTTCTTGGCAAGTTCGAGGTCACTGATCCCTTCCGGCAGCTGCTCCCAGTTGAGATCCTGGCTCTGCTGCTCTTGCTGCAGGGAGAGGGCCATCAGGTAGTCCTACGGGGCAAAGCCATTTGTTCGTCAGCGAGGGCCCCCCCCCTTGGTTCCCCATAAGAGGCCTTCCTCCTCCTCCTCCTCCTCCTCCTCCTCTCCCCGGCGAGGACAGGAGGATGACTCCGGCAGCCCCAGCAGACCTGGCACAGCATGGCTCTTTCTGTGCAGCCCCAAAACACACACCATGGCCAAGTGGGTGCCCGGTTACCCCCCCCCCGGTCTACCTGGTCTATCTGGTCTTGCTGCCCTCTGTAAACGGTCTCCGGGTCCGACGGCGGTCGCAGGTGGAATTCTGAATCACAGAAGTTTCCGTCCCCATCCACGTTGTGGAGACTCTCCCAGACGACTTTATCTTCTGTCAGGAAGCCCTGGTCGGTCACCAGCAAGTAAAGCTGTCCCTAAAAGTAAGGGAAGGTTTTTAAACCCCCCCCAGAGGGGCCACGGAAGCGCTCAGAGAGCCCTCAGGGCTGGGCCTGCCATGTGGCCTCGAAGACCATGACTGTCGCTGCACCGTGGAGACCCTTCCCTCGCCCGGCCACTCCACGGCACACGGAAGGGACGCGACAGGGTTCACAACACAGAAACGTCAAGTGGCCTGGGATTTTTGTTTTTTAAAGGCCACGCATGCCTCTCCTGCCCCTCTCTCTGAACTCATCTGGGAGATGTTCAAAGAAATTCAGCACAACCTGAGGGCACGAGAGCTGAATAAAACTGACCGGCTGTACAATTTTTTTACATAAAAGAGCAGACCAGCCACAAAGGGGGAAAAAAAGAAGAGTATCAATTAACTACCTGGGTGTGCCTGCAGGATTATAATTTTTTTTTAAAAAGAAAACTTCTTCAAAAGAACATTACAAGCTAAAAGATATTCCTTAACAAGCAGAACACAAAGGCCGGGTGTAACGATCGGGGCTCCTTTCGCTTGAGCTCTGAGGGGCTCATCGAGACAGGCAGGGCAAACGCACGAAAAAGCCGCCCCCCAAGACTCGTCAGGAGCAGCCAGACCGTGCCTCGGGAACAGCACACCGGACCACAACCCTCCCACCCCTCGCGAACCTCCCGCCCATGAAATGGAAGCAAACCTTTCCAGGCCCGATACCTTGTGTTTGGTCATGGTGCTGAAGTGGTTGTTTCGGAAGAAGACGCACAACTCCCCTTCTTGCACTGAGGAGGTCAGCTCACAAAGGCCGTGGTAGGTCAGCTGCGTGGCCGTCTGGTGGAGGAACTGCTCTGCGACCGAACCTGGGGGGGGGGGCGAGAAGCAAGGGACAGACTCGCACCCAGGCTTCACCCTTACGCCGCGCCGTGAATGTCGTCCCGCTCCAACCCGTCCGGAGAACGTGACGGCTCAACTCGAAAGAGTGCTCCACAGACGGGGATGCCTGGGGAGTCGGGTGCGGAGCTGACACTTGCGCGACCCAGAAGGAGCTGGAGCTTTGGGCCAAAGAAGCATGAGCTGAAAGGAGCACGCAAGCGTCTCCGTGATGCCCCGAAGGACGGAGGCCCGCTTTTTATACTAACAGAAACCCAACGCCATGCAGACCTGTGAAAAGCCTGGAGTTCGGCTTCTCAGATTCAAGCCAGATAAGACAGTCTTGCTTGGGAAGCAAGGCGGGACTTCCCCCCCGACCCACCCAGAGAGCTCTTATGGCCGCGAGAAAGGCCCACGCCCGAAGGCGGCAGAACCGTCCACTCGGCCTGGTTTGCTTTAGAGGTAAATAAGGAGACGTTTCCGTACTGCTTTCCGCAGGGCGGGAGGGCAGGGCGGGCTGTGCCTCTTGGGTGCGGGAGAGCACCAGGAGGAGGAGCGGCCACCTCCACCCCCTGGCAGGTGGGCCTCCCAGGGGAGCCACGGCCAGCCCTCTGATGGAACCGGAGGATGCTGGGCGGTTCTCATCCAGCAGCACGACTCTCCTCCTCCTCTTCTTCTCTGGTTACTCCCGACTAGCCATGGCGCTGCTATGGAACCTCCTGCCCAGAGGCTGCCGGACAATGGGTACCAGGCGTGCCCCGTCCTGGGGGCCATGTCCACCCAGGTGCCTTTCCTGCAGGCTGGAGAGACCCACTGCTCGAGTGGAAGAGCCCGGGAGGAGCCCCCGGGGCAAGCCATGCAGAAGCCGTCCACTCACCTTCTGCCACCAGCTCGCTGTTCTCCGACTGCTTGCAAAAAATGATTTTCTCCACAAGCTGGTTGTAGCTGCAGTTTCCGACGGCTTTCACAATGTCGGCCATCTGGGGAGGAAGAGGAAGAAAGGGGGCCGAGAACGACCGCTCTTTATCAGACGTTACAAGGCAGTTCTGTGGCCCCGTCGCTTTTGACCATCCCAACGACCTTTTCCAAAGTGCCGACAACACAAGGGGCCAGAAGGACACTCATCCGTGGAAAGAGTCTGAGGTGGCCCCTGTCAAGGGAACCGTTGGTGACCACAGAGAGGCCCTTCTCAGAGGGAACGCCCCAATCCCCCAGATGCCCTACTCACCGGCAGCCCTTCCCTTGCTTTATTTGGAGTACCCGCCCAGATCTGTCATGACCCTCTTGTGCCCTTTAAGATTCCTGCCGTTCCCACCGTTTTAGGTTCTTTCCTTTGTCGTGTTATTGGGGCCTTTTGGGCACCGTGGATGCTTTTCAGGGCTTTGCTCCGTGAGCTGCCTTCTGGGTAGGGGACAGATCCCTGTGGACCCCCCCCCCCCGATGCCCCAACAGTGACCGACGCATCCCAACGATACCTCCTTACCTGAGGGTCTACCAGCCACCCGTGGTATAACGGAATATCCAAGAGGTCAAACACGATGCATTCAGGTGTGTATTCAAAGACCCGCACGCCAGTGAACTTGACGTTCACATCCAGGCCCGTCTGGAGCTTATGCAGGATGGCCATGGCATCGCTCATGTTCTGCCAACAGGAAAAGGGAAAAGAGCAAGGGCTGGCAGCCAGCAGACAACACGAGGCCATCGGGCCCACGTTTTGTATTGAACAAGCACTTCGCGATGCTCCAGGGCAGGAGCTCTGGCTGTTACGTTCTTAGCTTTGTCCAACAAAAAGGGAAGTTTAAAACGTCTGCCATTCATCAGCACCGCGTGTGCTTTTTTACTCTTCAGATGGCAATCTCTCTGACTGATGTTGAACTTCACATGACTACACGGGTAAATACGTAACACAACTGTAGTCATCAAAGTTTTTAACGCTGACGAGTTAAATCTTTAAAGCATCCGGAGGCAAACAGCTGAATTTCATCCTATGTTATTACTGTATCATCCATTGAAATCAAGTAATGGGGACTGGGGGAGAGGCAGCATTAGGACACTCATTACAGTATTTAAAAGTTATGACAGAATTTTTCCAGGATTCCATAGAGGTTGACAATTTCCTGTCATCTTTTTCATCCTCAGAAAACCAGTGGAAATAAGTTTATATTTCTATCTCTGTCTCTCTATTGCTGCAGATGCAATGTACAAGTGATCTCAAAATAGGGAGGAAACAAATGCGGTAAGATGACGGACTGAAGGACAAACTCATCTCAGAATTGTGGCCGCAGTCCGGACACCCGGCTCCTCAGCCACGATGTACTACATGCCCTGAGCTGATTTTTATTTTTCAATGGGCAGGAAGAGACCGTCACCCATCGATTGAACCTCCTCTGGAGCCTTAAAGCCGTGACATCACAGGAAGAATAAGAAGCCAGACATTCTAACTCGCGGCGAGAAAACCGGCACTTCCTCTGAAGGCAAGCTTCTTACCTGCTCATAGTTCAAGCGCTGCGTTTCTGAGATTTCTTTTGGTTTTGAATCAAGAATGTAGTCACCTGGAAGTAAACAAACAAACAAACCAAGCCCCTCTCATTTGCATCCTGTAAATGCAATGGCAGCCATCTGTCTGTTCACGGCACCTCAAGGCCCAGGTTCTCTGTGTCCCCCCCCCCGAGGCGACAGCCAGGATGTATTTTTTCAAGTGAACCCCAGATGTGGGCACACGTTCAAAGTTCTCTTCGCTTCCCCAGTTCCTGGCAGGTAAGGTTGAACTGGGCAGAGAGGGACTCGCAAGGTGCACCTCT